TTCTTTTCTTAACTCAAAGAAAACTTGTCATGATCTAACAAGAAGCAGAAGGTTCACAAATACTGCTCCGCTGCCCTGGCTGCTTTGCTCTCAGCCCAGAATGAAAAAATGCCCAAGCAAGACGCTGTTTTGGCCCTACCATCCCTAATGAGGCCATGCAGGGGAGGGTAGGGGGGTAAGGGTGTCAGGGGGAGCAGGGAGGAGCTGGTGTTCTGTGTTGGCTGCCTTCCTCGGGTGCCATGGGAGGTACTTAGCAGTCCCTGAGCTCGTCTAGGTAACACAGACCACAGCAGTACCCAGCTCATAGCACACAGCCCTCTCTGCCAGTCACTTCACAAGGCTTCTCACACTCCCTTTGCAGCAGTTCTAATTAAGAAAGAAAAAAGTCAGTATTTTCTCCTTCCAAGTGCACAGTCCTGATTTTTGCATGAGGATGCAAGGATGTGACCCGAAGATTATATAATTAGAAGGCATTTGTTATGCCTGTATTTCAAATCAGTGATTAGCATGTGACAGTCCCATCCTGGGAAACATCAAGCCACCATTGCTCTCCTTTCTTGCACAGCGTAATTCCCAACTCTGGTAGCCACCAGTGCCGACGGCTCTTCAACTTGCCTGAGGTAAGTTTAAAATGTATGTGGCATGGGATGAAGTGTGGGATTAGTAATGCCATTTTTCACATTGCTGGATAAAAATGAGCTGTAGGTATTTCAAATGCATGTAAAGTGGTATAGAAAATATTTTCTATCTTCAATGCCCAGTTATTTTCAGCTGATTTCTTCTAGGACTGTGAATGGAGATCCAGCTTTAGCATGCTGGAGAATTTTGTGAGGCTGCATTTATATTAAGGGCTACAGAAAGAGAGGTTAAGAAGACCTTCTTTGCTTTTACTGTTTAAGAGCTAAATTGGGGTCTCTTGCTAGCTTGAAGTATTTGAATGACAGCGGTGTTAGAATTAGCTGGAAATAAAGCATGATACTGATAAAAGTAGATTAATGATTTTTTGCTCCTCTAAGGAGGACTGGGGTTGTTCTCAAAGTGGGATATTTAAAACAGACAGCAATCTCCGCTGGCAGGATTGTGAGACAGACCCCAGGAAGATCCCAAGCTTTTTTTTTTTTTTTATTTGGAGAATTGCATGTGTTTAGCAACATCTACAGACACAGAAAAAGTGTGTATGGACTCCCCTGCATTGTTCCTCAATTCATGATCCCATGACAAGGTGGGAGAGAAAGTCAAATAACTAACTGATGTCCATCAGGACAAAGCTGTTAATTTACCTGACTATTCTCCTGCTGATGCTTGGGGCATTTGGTCTGTTTAACAAGTGATCCTATGTACAGTTGATCATTTCTCCAAGGTGTGTCATTCCACAGTGGGGGAAGCAAGTGAAGGGGGAACACAGCCACACACAGCCTGCACAGGCTGATGGACCTGCTTGCTCTCCATTGCCCATGCACACAGGGAGGGCTCTCATCCTTGCTTTGTCTTAGTGACAGCTCCCTCCTGTCTTTGACCCTGTGCCTAGGCATAACTACACAAGGTGATTAATGGGTCCTCCTGGTCCTCCTTCTCCCTTGGGGGATCTCATGGGAAGCAGGTGTTCACTCAAGGCTCTGTTAACTTTCATGGTTGCCTGCTCTTCTGCTCCTGAAAGATTCCAGGGCATCATTCTTTGCTGGACAGTGGTGGACACTGCCATGTTGATCACTGATGGAGAGGCGGCATTCAGCTTTGGTTCTTGGGCTTAGCAGATTTTGGTGCTGGTGAAAGATAGGATCATAGGGGAAAATACTTCCTTCTGCTACAGTAGAGCAATCTGGTGGATTTAACACTCTGCAGCTATTCAGGGGAGGTTCAGGCTGGATACTGGGAAAAAATTCTTCTCTGAAAGAGTGGTTGGGCACTGGAGCAGGCTGCCCTGGGACGTGGTGGAGTCATCTGGCAGTGTTTGAGAAATGTGGAGATGTGGCATTGAAGGACATCGTTTAGTGGGCAACATTGGTGGTAGGTGGATGGTTGGATATGATGATTTTAGAAGTCCTTGCCAACCATAATGATTCTATTCTCTGGTCTTGATGAGCAGCAGGGAAAATGAGTTTTAATGCTCAGCTCTGAAGAAACAAGCATCCTTATATTTTCTTATGCCTAAAGCGGGGAGACGTGGGCTTACGTTGCAGGCAGACTGCTAGCAGCTTTGTATGATTGCTTCTTAAGCCTATCCAAAGGAACACTAACATCTCCTACCTACTTACTGATGAGGAAAGTGCTCTGTGGTGGGCTGGCATGCCAGGCAGACCATGGATTTGCTGTAGGTAAAGGTCTGACAATGGTTTACAAAATAGCCCCACGGAGGATGTGCTCACTGCTAATGTGCACATGCGTTTATATATGTGCACATGGGAAAGGAATAAAGGAGTGGGGCTTGCTTGGTATTGAGAAAAGAAGGTGAAGGAAGGGGATCCTCTTGCTGCTTTTAGCTGCCTTAAGGGGATTGTAACAGAGCTGAAATCCAGACTCTTCCCAGATGTGAACAGTGAAAGGACATAAGACAAGTGACATGAGCTGCAGAAAATGGAAAAGTCCCAGTTGGGCATAAGGAAAAAAATTCTACCCTAGGGTACTACTAGAGGACCAGAGAGGCTGCAAGGCCTCCAGTGCGAGAGCTACTCGAACTTCATCTGGACACAGCCCTGAGCACCCAGCGTAGCTTCGCATTAGCCTTGATTTGAGCAGGAAGCTGGACCAGGAAGGAGGTACCTGCTCACCTAGATGCTGTGTGAGCTTAAGATCACCAGAGTGAAGATTTGAACAAGCAGCTCACACTCAAGGCCTCAAGGGCAAACCCTAGTTCTATTTTCCAACACTTTCTGGCATGCTTTAGGAATAAACGAGACATTGCTTAGCCAGCTCAGGCTGATCAAATTCCTTGTCCCAGTGAGGACAGGGTTAACAGCTTCTCCATCCAGCAGTCAGAAGGGGCAGAGGACAAGCACTTGCATCAAACCACAGTGAGGTCTTGTTTGTTTTAGTAATGAGAAAGGACTGACTACTTTTCCTCCAGCAATTCAAAAGAAACAGGGGCAGATAGGCAATGTTATACATTCATGGAGTCCAGCAGTGAGTCCTTAAATGCTGGAAAGTAGCCACATAAGGCAATTATTTAATGTAACAAAGAACCAAGGAGTGACTCAGGAAATTGCAGGCTGCAGCTAGAGGACATGTGAAAGACAGCCATCCTAGAAAAAAGAGGAAGACTTTTTCTGGACCCATTTAACCAAGGTCAACCTACTTTGCAGTGTGGTCATATAGCAGAGCTCCTGGTGGTGCCTGGAGCAGGAGGGCATGGTGGCATCCCTGAGGTCCCAGTTTCAAAGCTTCACTCCTGCGCTCTG